CTCACATATATATATGCATAATATATATGCAAATGTATATCATGGATACTGATTTGTTTACTTAATTATATGTTGCAAGCATTTCTAGAAATCACCAGTTTTCAAAATAGAATTTCTCTAGTGACAAAAAGGCATTTCACTCACCTAACTTCCGTGATGTGTCTGGCACTCTACTAGATGCTAAGGGTACAGATGTAAATAGTACCATGCCAATTCCAATGTTCTTGATAGTTGTGACAAAAGGATGTAATCGCTGAATTGTTATGGACATTGAAAGTTTTCCACAATGATATTGATTATACTTGAAGGCATTGTCTATAATTTATATTTCTTTCTATAAACAGTAGTGGACACAAAATGATGCATTAGAAGCATTATCAGATTTTTTTCCTGTCCTTTAACTCCTGTTTAAACTAGAACTTTCTTATAAAAAAAAAAAAGGTGGGAAAGACCCAGCAAGGCCTTCAAGTCAAAGCTGGATTTGACCCTCAGTAGCACATATGGTGTCCCAAGCCTAACAGGAGTGATCACTGAACACTAAGCCTTGGGTTTCATAGTGGGGATCCCCTCCCCCCACCAAATACATATTCATTCTTTTAAATATTTAATGCAAATATAACTTTAAGAAAGGAAAAAAAGAAGGGTTTTTTTTTAAGCCCAGCTTTCCTCAGTTTATAAGGTGGCATTTTAGCTCTGGGCAGGGAGTTCTGAAGTGTGCCCTTTATAGAACTGTGTCAGCAGATGTATAAAAGAGGACTCTACAGTTGTATAGATAAACTTTTTATATGACATTTTTGTAATTGCAGAGGACTTCACCACCCAGTACTAAAGCAACATTGTCAACATCCCAGAAACTTCTTTGCACTCACTTATCAAAATACCCTCTCCCTGGTAACTACTTTCTGACCTTTAATAGCATAGATAGGTTTTGTATTTTTCAAGGTTTATAGAAATTTTGATCTGGATTTGTTTCCATAAGTATCATGGTTGTGAGATTCACCCATAGTTTTTAGTGCAGTACCATGTTGTTGTTGCTGCTGTTGAATCTCATTACTGTGTAATTGTAATTATTACATTGCATTTTCCCTTATTCTACAGTTGGTGAACACTTAAATTTCTGGGTTTTAGTATTGAGTTTCTTTTTCTTTTGCTTATTTTTGTACCACTCCCAGCTGTGCTCACAGCTTACTCCCATCTCTGTTCAGGGATCAGTTCTGGTGGTGCTTGGGGGACCAGATGCAGAGTGCCAGGGGTTTGCTTTCTTGCCAAATATTTCTTGGCTATGTGTAAAGCAAGTAAGTGCCCTACCTGCTATACTATCTCTCTGGCCCCAAGTTTTGAGTTTCCTAAGAATGCTATTGTATACAGATACATGATGTCTCTCATACATGAAGAATAGGGGAATAACAGATGTCCCAAAGCATCAGAAACTGAGAACTGGTCTTCAGTAGGAAGCTTACCGTGGGGACAGGCATGGGAAAAGACAATCTGTGAGGGACCCTGGGATGATGGTGGAGAGAAGTGCACACCTGGCTTGCAGTGTGGTACTCAACGTATGAAATCCTGTTCATAACAGTTTGTAAACCACAATGTCCAAAATTTAAAAAAAATAATAATGAAAACTACTGCAGTAAAATGCCTTGTAGATTTAGATGTAGATGTGGTTTGGCTGTAGAGTACATACACTTTATATGTGATGTCTTATGTTGGAACCTGGGTACAAAATCTGCTCATAGAAATTCTTCAACAGGAGCCGGAGCAATATTACAGTGGGTAGGGTGCTTGCCTTGCTCACGGCTGACCTGAGTTCAATCCTTGGCATCTCCTACGGTTCGCTGAGCCTGCCAAGAGTGATCAGAGTGCAGAACCAGAAGTAAGCCCTAGCATTGCCGGTATGGCCCACAAAAAAAATACCAATTAATAAAGAAATTTTTTGACAATATGAATGCATTTCTGTTGAGTGTATACTAGGAGAAGTATTAATGCATCGTAAGGAATCCACATATTAAGCTTTTATAGTGTTTTTCCAAAAGATTTGCTGTTTTGTACTTCTACCAGGAGTTCAGGAGAATTCTGGTTGCTTTCTTGCCAACTATTTGATACTCAGAGCACAGCTTTTGTTTTTGTTTTGTAATTCTGGTGTTTACATGAAACTATCTAATTCAAAATTTGGGATAATATGTTGAAAGCTTTTAATCATATTTTTGTTAATAATGTTTAATCAGAGGCTATAAAGCTAGACATGGTATTAATATTCCATTTTATTAAGCATGCAAAAGTTATTTGCAAAAATTAATAGTGTTTATGAAATTTGTCTTCTTTCCTTTGAACAGAACTGAAGCACAGATATTCATTTTCTTCAGTAGTCATTTCATGTATAGTTAATGGCAACAAATAAACTGTTAGGATCTCTTTTACTCTTTGATGAAATGGTTCACTGCAGCTCTGCTAAGAAAACACAGTGACAAAAGACAGTTGAGATGTGAACTTTAACATCTATCATTTACCTGTGCCACAACAATAAATCTAAGACAGAAAATCACAAATTGCATAAAGCTATTTAATTTTTCTGCTACAATATATTATTCTGTTTTAGTCAAATTTTTTGAGACTTTCAGGAACCAGTGATCTGGCTAGAAAATCCTCCATACAGGGATAGTAAGAAATAGAAAATCTCTGTTTGAACCTATGTGAGTCTATATTTTGACAAGCTCCCTTGGGGATTTATGGGTCTATAACAGTCTGAGAAGGCTTGCAACACTCTGTTTAGTAAGAAAAGAATAAAGGCATAAACAAAAAAACCAAAAGCAGATCTCATAGGTCTTCACTTAATATAAATGCAGGTATTGTGAAACTCTGCATGTTGTAGAGGCAGATCTCAAATATTTAAATATTTGAGAGTTTTAGTCTCTATCAGAACTAAACTCACTAGAATGAAAGCTACCATGGAAAACATGTATACAAATGAGCAATAAAACTTTATTGATAGAGAGGGGCAAAACATAGTACAGTGGATAAGGCTTTGTCTTGCATGCAGCCAACCAGGGTTTGATCCTTGGAATTACATATGGTCCCTGAGCATTGCCAGGTGTGATCCATGATTGCGAGTCAGGAGTATGTTCTGAGTATATATAGCTCATGTGACTGTCTCCTTGCCCCTCAAATTAAAAACAAAAATGATTGATGGACTTTGAATTTGAGTTTACATATTTTTCACATTTCATGAAATATTGGTCTTTAAAATTTGTTTTAGTGATATAACTGTGTAAGAAATTTTCTCAACTTATACATTGTACAAAAAATAGGCACTACGCTGAATCTGACCTGCTAGCCTCAGCTTCTTGACTTCTGCCCCAGGTTCAAAATGCTGATAAGTCCTCTGAGGGAAGAAACTTTTTCTTGGTTTCACTATTAACTCTTTAACTCGGACACATCCTGTGATTAAAAGAAAACATTTCTGAAGTATAATACTGTTGCCATTTCTTAATTATGAAATGTGGTGAAAATACCCCAAGTTGAAATTCTGAAGGCTTGCTTTCTTTTCACCTGTCTGTATTACCTGCCCACTATATGTTCTTCTTTGTGCAAAGAAAGATAATGTTTACTGGACCTGATGCCAGAAATGCAGGAGAAAAACTCATTAACCTGTCATTCATTTTCTACCACAAGTATCCTACATTCAGGACTCTGTGTATTAGTATAGTATGCATGTGTCTATGAATAGCTAGTTATTACTCTCAGGCATTCTGATAAGAAATTCAGGGCCATACCGTATACCATAAAATAGAAGATATATTTTTTTCCTTTCCCAGGGGAAACCATAGAACAGCTAATATTTCTTTACATAATGTGCAATAAATTATGCATAAATTCAGACTTATAAGCAAGTCAAATCTTTGAAACATGAGTTGATGTATATAGTGTGAATATTTGAAATCGTTTGTATCTTTTTTGTTCTTGAAGTGAGCAATCATCAAATAAAATTGTAGACATTGACAAAAAATGAAGGAGATAAATAGCCACTACAATTATCACCAAGGTTACTAGTTTTGACATGTAATTACCTCTTCCCTTTCTTGGATATATCACTTACTGTCAGGTCACAACAAAGCTGCGGGCTTCAGAGCCCAATCACTAAAGCTACTGTATCTAATTTTTGTTATTTAATATGTTTGCTTTGGAAAATTCCAAATATTGCTAAGCCCTGGAATTTTCACCAGCAAAGTAATAATATTCCATTATAATCTCTCTATATGTAAACAGACATTTTATTTATCCATCGGAAGACATTTATGCATCCATTGACAGTCATTTAGATTGTTTGCATTTCTTGTCTATAATTAATAATGCTGCAGTGAACATGTGGTGCAAATATAGCTTCGAGATAATGATTTCACTTCCTTGGAAAGTATACCCAGAAGTAGAATTGTTAGAACAGCTGTAGTTCTAGTTTTAATTTTTTGAGGAAACTCCATACTGTTTTTCATAATGGATATACCAGTGAACATTCTCACCAACCGTTTATATTGGGTTCAGTTTTCTCTTCATTCTAATCACTTCACTCTAATTTGTTATCCTGTGTCATTTTTGATGGCAACCAATCTCCCAGTCATGGGCTGTACCTCATATTTTTCTAATGATTATTGATGGTTAGCAACTTTTATATGCCTTTTGGCAATTTGCTTATCTTCTTTGGAAAAAATGTTTGATAATTTGCCCATTTTTAATATTGCTTGCCTTTTGCATTTGAGTTCTTTATGTGTTATGAATATTAAACACTTATCAATATGTGCTTTGCAACTATTCCTCCCCCCTATTTTATATACTATTTTGTTTTCTTTTTAAAAAAATAATTTTTTTTATGATATCACAAGATTTATTACCGAGTTAGCAACAAGGTACAGAAGCTAGAAAAGACGAACAGATTCCCTAATCAAAGAAACATGACTTCAGACTTGTGGTGCCTTTCTACCTGCTGTGTCCAATATACTAGCAGCCTATCACAGCAAATGCCCATGCATCTCTTGTGACTCTCCTTCCAGACCCAGCTTGGTCCTTCTCCAGTGCCTCCTCTTGGAGTTGTACTTCTTGATCTTGTTACCAGTTTTCATCTGAATCCATTGAGGAATAGGCCAATTCTGCTTTTGTTTCTTGGCCAGGAATTGCTTGATCCTGAAAGTCTTGTGGGAAAACATGGTGAAGAGTCACGTTCACACTGCAACGATGGCAGAGTAAAGGAGAGAAAGCTAAAAAAAAAAAAATTTTTTTTTATTCACTGAAAGAACCATGATTTACAAAGCTATTGGTAGTTCAAGTTTTAGGCATATAATAGTTCAACATCAATCCCACCACCAGTGTCAACTGTCCTCTACCAGTGTTCCCATCCTCCACCCCCCACTCCATCCCTGCCCCAATAATCTACTAACATGCCACCTTGACAGGCACATTACAAGGTTTGGTGATTGCAGCTTAGATATCAAGTTTTCAGTATTAGTGGGTCTGTGATTTGGATATATAGCTACACCACTCTTCCACATCACTCGCATACCCGAAGCCCCACCCCCTGTTCCCACATAATTTCCCTTTCTCAATCTTTCTTTCCTGCTTGATTTCTTTCCTTCTCTTTTTTTAATTTTTTTTAAAAATTTTTTGTTAGCGAATCACCGTGAGGTACAGTTACAGATTTACATATTTTTGTGCTTGTGTTTCAGTCATACAATGCTCGAGTACCCATCCCTCTACCAGTGCCCACCCTCCACCACCGATGATCTCAGCATCCCTCCCTGCTCTTCTCCCTAAGCTCTGGGGTCAGGAGTGATCTAGGCACTCCCCCTTTACTACATTTCCTCATTCAGTTGATGATCACTTTTGTTGCACAATTTTTAGATTTCTGTGATCCCACTTACTGAATTTTGCATTTTGTTTGTTTGCCAGCGCTTATTCCTGGTGCTATTCTCAGGGACCAGTCCTGGTGGCAAGCCCGAGACCATATGGTGCCTGGGATCGAACCCAGGTTTGTTGCATGTAGGACACATACCCTAACTGCTGTACTAGTGCTCAGGCCCTGATTTTTAATTCTGATGCTTATATTTTTGGTATGTTAACCAAAAAATCATTGCCAAGATTAAAGTCAAGGAGTTTTCCTGCCTACTTTTACCAAATAGTTTTCTAGGTCTTGCATTTAAATCTTTAATCCATTTCCAAGTAAATTTTGCAAGTATTTTAAGATAAGGGTCTAATTCCATTCTTTTGCATTTGGTTCTTTTGTTTACCCATCACAATTTTCCCTTCAACTATTGTTGGCTTTTGTGTCAAATATTAGTTGAATGTATTGCATTGCTTGCTTCTGCTTCTTGGTTCTGTCCCACTGGCCTATGGGCCTGTTTTTATACACTCATTTTTTCTTAATTTCTATAACTACATTATACTTTGAAATCATGAGGTATAATGCCTCCAGCTTTGTTGTGTCTCAGAATTGCTGAGTTTACTCCAGTCTTTTAAAATTGCATGTGATTTATTTTTTTTGGTTCTATTTGTTTCTACTCCTATAACATTTCTATTGGAATATTGATGGATATTCCATTCAATCTAAATGATTTTGAATTGCATGGCATTTTGATTCAATTATTTCAATATATGAGCATGGGATAGTTCTACATTTATTTGTGTCTTCATTTTCTTTTATTGATGGTATAGTTTTTGGTGTATGGATATTTTACTTCTTTGGTCTTTTTATTATTTTTTATGCTATTGCAAATGAGATTGTTCTCTTTATTTCCTTTTTAGGTAGCTGATTTTGTTTGTTGATTTTGTATCCTTCAACTTTACTGACTTCATTTATTGGCTCTAGCAGGGTATTTTTAGAGTTTTCAAGTTTTTCTCTGTATAAAATTGTGTCATCTGCATCCTTTCTTTCTGATTTTCACTTGTTTTTCTTGCCTGCCTGCTCCAGCTAAGTCCTTTAGTACTATGCTAAATAGGAATAGTGAAAAATGGACACCTTTGCCTTGTTCTTGATCTTAGAGGAAAAGCTTTCAGCTTTTCACAGTCATCTGTGATATTAACAGTGAGTTTGTCATATACGACCTTATTATGTTGAGATATGTTGCCTATAAACTTATTCTGTTGAGTTTTTGTGGTGGATGGATATTGTTTTTCAAATGCTTTTCTACAACTCTTGAAACATGTGATTTATATATTTTGTTCTATGAATGAATACATCGTATTTATTGATTTTATATATTGAACCATCCTGTGTCCCAGGGATGAAACCACTTGAATGTGGTAAGATCCTTTGTAATGTGCTTTTGAATTCAGTTCACTCATATTCTGTAGAGAGTTTTTGCATCTACAATTTTCAGGGATATTGGCTTGCAGTTTTCTTTTAGCTTCCTAATCTGGCTTTGATATCAAGGTAATGCTGGCCTTGCAAAATGAGCTGGAGGTGTTATCTCTTCAATTTTTAAGATGAGTTTGAGACAAATTGGTGTTAATTCCCTTTAAGCATTTGATAAGGTTTCCCCATGAAGTCATTTGATCTTGTGCTTTCTTTGTTGTGAGGCTTTGATTATTGAATCAATCTTTTTGCTCATTATTGGTCTGCTCATAATACCTATTTCTTCATGATTCAGTTCTGGTAGATTGTATGTTTATATATTTGTACACATTTCTCATAGGTTGTTCAGTTAGTTTGCATTATTCATACTAGTGCCTTATGGTCCTTTGCATTTCTCTGTTATCATTCGGTCTTCTTTTTCAGTTATAATTTTGTTTTCATTTCTTTTCTTGACTAGTAAAACTAAAGACTTGTCAACTCTATTTATCTTTACAAAGAATATCTCAAAGTTTTGTGAAATTTTCTATTATTTTCCTATACTTAGTTTATTTCTGTTCTACTCTTTATTGTTTCATTGTTATGCTAACATTGGGCTTTCTTTTTTTTTCTAGCACATTTAGGCTTTTTTGGCTTTGTCTTTTTTTCTTAACTTCAGATCTTTGATTTTCCTTTATAGGTACATATATTAAATATAGCTGTAAACTATTTTGCTTTTGTTTTTTCCTCTAAGTATTAGTATGTAGGGTTTCCATTTTATTTATTTCAAGTTATTTTTAACTCCCCTTTTGATTTCTTGTCCCATTGATTGTTATATATGTTATTTAAATTCTGCATATATGTGAAATTTCTAGTTTTCCTCCTGTAATTGATTTCTAGTTTTATATCACTGTAGTTGGAAAAGATGCAAGATATAATTTCTTTCTTCTTGAATTTTCTGGTGACTTGATCTGTGGCTCGTTATTTGTCCTGGAAAACATTTTGTATGCACTTGAGAAGAACATGTATACTCCTGCATTGAATGCGATATTTTATATATGTCTGTTAGATTCATTTGGTCAGGAGTGTTGTTGAGATCCAGTTTCATTTTTGATTCTCTTTTTGGATGACTTATTCATTAGTGAAAATGGGTTATTAAAATCATCAATCTTATTTTATTCTCATTTTAATTCTCTTAGTATTTGCTTTTTTTGGTTTTATATATTTTTTATTTTTTAAATATTTATTTTTAATGAAGACACCGTGAATTACAAAGTTGTTCATAATAAAATTGTTTCAGACTTAGTATTTGCTTTATTTGTCACATTATATGTGAATGTATATGGATATTTATCTACTAACTTAAACACATAAGCCTTTTTTAATAACTAAATTGTGTTTCATTAAAAAATAACATACATTAATATATTATATGATCCATTCTAAGAACAATTCTTCAATTATCTTGATCTACAGATTGATTTATCTTCTATTTAGTAAAACTTTCAAATGCCTGTTATTGGCTGGATACACTGTTTTTTAACTGTTGCATGGTTTAAAATGGGACAAGTTCACTTTCTTTGAAAGTCATCCTTTAACCCCCAAATTTATTACTTAACATGATATTCTTCCATATGCACTTCACTTTCTTCTACTATGATACAGCTGCTATTTTTGGAATATTTTGTATTCTCTATATCTTTATGCATTTTTAAAGTTGTTGAGTTTTATTGATTTTTAAGAATTTTTAGGGACCATACTGATAGTCTGTTAGGTAGTGAACTTGTCTTGCATGCTGCAAATTGGGATTTAACCCTTCTACCCCATCTGGTTCCCTGAGTTCTCCAGGAGTGATTCCTGAGCTCCAAGCCAGGAGAAAGCCCTGACCACTGCAAGGGCGTAGCCCCCAAACAAAAAATTTTAAATGAAACTTTGAGCTTCATAAAGATTTTTTTAAAATGTTTTTCTGATAGGAAGCTATATGTGATGCTGGAGATCAAACCCAGATTGACTTAGTGTAAGGCAATCTGTTTCCTGATTTGTCTTTCATTTTTGCATTGTGCAGCATATTCAGCTCACTACCAGTAGTAAACTTTTGATTAAAAGAGACAGTTGTATTTAGGAATCGGAATTTATTATGTTCATTAATCATTAGTTTTCTAATAATTAGTTTTCTATTTTTCCCTTTTCAGGAAGCTGGGTCACATTATTTTTGTTAGAAAGTAGTGTCTCAGAAATACTGACTCTTAATGTATGCATATTTGAAATATATGGTTTTTGATTTTGGCTCTTTTCTGTGATATATATTAATATTTAACTTAAGTCATTGTGGATCCTAGTGAAAAAATCTCTCATTTTATTTCAAGTTATTACTGAAATAATTGCCAGTACTTAATGTAGATTTTTTGCAGATCATATCACAAGTGGAAAGTTTCTAGTTTACTTTTTTTTTTGTTTTGCCTTTTTTTAGATGTAAACTTGACTGTTTTTTAACTTTATAAAATGAGTTAGGTGTGTGTTTATTTTTCTGTCATTTAGAAAAATTAGTATATCCTGGGAATGATCTATTTTTGAATATTTAAAAGATGGTGCATCTTAAAACCAAGGGAGTGTTAGAAGTGAGGTAATAATAATTTTGTTTTCATTATTTTGGGGGCAGAGATGCTTGTGGCAAAGAAATATTCAGCAATTCACACCTAGTAGTTGGTGAAATAAAAAATTGAAACCAGGCGTTGTAACTACAGAGTTTTGGCCCACATTCGGTACCCCATACTGCTATTAATGTCCCGCAAGCTTTCTTAGTGCATCCCTTACTCTTGGGTTTTCAGGCTGACTGGATTCAAGTACATGTGACTGCTCTAAGCTTTATTATGGGTTTTGATT